AAAAAACACACGTTTTTCTTTGTTTCTGTTATAAAAGTTTGTAAATAAATAATTGTTCTTCATAAATTTAGGCCGAGATGTATTCTGCTACATGTCTTTGGTGAAAATAACCCAAATTAGGATGTATTATTTAGTTTGTAGGAAAGTTATAGAGTTCACAAACTATGGTATAGATCTGAATATTGATCAATCCTGAAGTACTGACAGCCAATCTAATTTCTTGAGGTCCAAGAATGTCAGAACAGTACAGATATCCCCAAATGTCAGAACAGTACAGATATCCCCCAAATGTCAGGACAGTACAGATATCCCCCCAGAAAGTACAGATATCAAATGTCAGAACAGTACAGATATCCCCCAAATGTCAGAACAGTACAGATATCCCCCAAATGTCAGAACAGTACAGATATCCCCCAAATGTCAGGACAGTACAGATATCCCCCAAATGTCAGGACAGTACAGATATCCCCAAATGTCAGGACAGTACAGATATCCTCCAAATGTCAGAACAGTACAGATATCCCCCAAATGTCAGAACAGTACAGATATCCCCCAAATGTCAGAACAGTACAGATATCCCCCAAATGTCAGAACAGTACAGATATCCCCCAAATGTCAGAACAGTACAGATATCCCCCAAATGTCAGAATACAGATATCCCCCAAATGTCAGGACAGTACAGATATCCCCCAAATGTCAGGACAGTACAGATATCCCCAAATGACCCCTTTTTGCAGAGTAGACAGTCCGACGTACTTCATAAGAGGCATGGCGAGTTTTTTGAAGTTGTATTTGTTTTGTCATAATTTTTCGGAAAATGAAAAAATTAAAAAAATTAGTTTTACTCTTTTTTTTTTACATATTGTCACCAGTGCAGTACAGCGCCATCATATAACTGGCGGTGAACAGGGACACTGACTGGTGACAGTATGAAAAAAAAAATAATAATATATATTTTTTTTATTATTTTTTATTAAATTGTTTTCTTTTTTTTAAGATTTTTTTTCATATTTTACTATGACCAAAGTAGTACAATGTTACCATAGTAACATTGTACTACTTTGGGGAAGTGATTTTTTTTTTTTTTTTTTACACAATTTGCTTATAGCAAAGAATTACTTTGCTATAAGCAAGCATTTACCTGAATGACATCGATTCATTCAGGTTTTTTTTTTTTTTTTTTTTTTTTTGTGCTTAGCTGTGATTTGGCCACAGCTAATCACATGACATGTGCATGTGATTAGCTGTGACCATTCACAGCTAGTCACTAGTATACAATGGATGGCATGAATGAAGCCATCCATTGTATACAACTGTCATGTGACCTGCTGTGATTGGTCACAGCAGGTCACATGGTACCGGCAACAGAGGCCGGTACTCAGATCTGTCATCGGCCATGTCCGAGGTACACGGCCGGTGACAGATCGCGCCACTGCGCGGCTCTGCAGGAGCGCAATCTGTGCATGTGCGGGAGGGCGCCATATGGTGTCCACCCGGAACGCTGATGACATTTGCCGGCCGCCATTCAGCCATAGGGCGGGCGGAAAATGGTTAAAGAGTAATAAAAGTATATAGTACTTACTTGATTGACTGGAGAAGTGGAGTGATGGGAAGGAGTATATTTGGGTGGTCCTCAGTCCCACCAGGATTGTTTTAGGTATGGTTGCCAGGATTATGGTAGTGGTGGAAGGCTGGTGTTCTTGAGTCCTTGAAGGTGTTGAAATCTTTGGGAAAAAGGTTGGGGTCCATCTCAGGTATGGTGTCCTCTAGTTGGTCCGGTAAATTAAAAGTGACCAGGTAGTTGTAGGCCAATAGGGTGTCTGAGGTCAGCTCCGTAGAGGTGTTTTCCAGCTGGGGGCATAGCTTAGCTAACTGGTATACGGTACTTTCAAGGGTTTGCAATCTCATTTGATATGTAGGGTTATGTATTTACTTGTTATTTATTTTTGTATATTGGCCAGGATGATGTCCCAGCCCACAGGAAGGCATGCTTTGAAGGCATGGCACGGCTATGCTGTTCCTTTAGAGCAATGGTTCTCAACCTGTGGGTCGCGACCCCTTTGGGGTCGAACGGCCCTTTCACAGGGGTCGCCTAAGACCATCAGAAAACACATATTTCTGATGTGTAAAGAGCAGCTACTGTGTTGAAAGCAGCTACTCTGTTAAAAGCAGCTACTGTGCTGAAAGCAGCTACTGTTCTGAAAGCAGCAGTATTGGAGGTAAAACAACACTTCATGAATTATAATTACTGGGTAAGTAATTTCATGGTTGGGGGTCACCACAACATGAGGAACTGTATTAAAGGGTCGCGGCATTAGGAAGCTTGAGAACCACTGCTTTAGAGCGTATGTGCCGGCTCTCCAAAGGAGCAAACATCTCCTAGACAGTTCACGTTTCGGAGATATTCATTTTACCTACAGGTAAGCTTTATTATAAAGTGAGGTTTCACCACGAATGTCAGATCATTGGCAGTAGTTCTAGCACCAGATCTCCTCTGCACATTTAAAGTGGAAAACTGTAAAGGCTTTTAAAGCATTGCCTATGAATAGTAAAATTTACGTTGTTTGTTGCTGTTGCACAGGCATGCGCAGTTTTAAAGTGTGGCATGTTTGGCATCTATTTACTGGGCGTAACATCATCTTTTATATTTTACAAAAAAAATTGGGCTATATTTTTTTTGTTTTGAAACGAAAACAAATGTATTTTTTTCCAAAAAAATTGCATTTGAAAAACCGCTGTGCAAATACCATGTGGCATAAAAAAATTGCAAAACCCACCAATTTATTCTCTATTGCCTCTGCTTAAAAACACACACACACATATATATATATATACAGTCAGGTCCATAAATATTGGGACATAGACACAATTCTAACATTTTTGGCTCTATACACACCACCACAATGGATTTGAAATGAAACGAACAAGATGTGCTTTAACTGCTGACTGTCAGCTTTAATTTGAGGGTATTTACATCCAAATCAGGTGAACGGTGTAGGAATTACAACAGTTTGCATATGTGCCTCCCACTTGTTAAGGGACCAAAAGTAATGGGACATAATAATAATCATAAATCAAACTTTCACTTTTTAATACTTGGTTGCAAATCCTTTGCAGTCAATTACAGCCTGAAGTGTGGAACGCATAGACATCACCAGACGCTGGGTTTCATCCCTGGTGATGCTCTGCCAGGCCTCTACTGCAACTGTCTTCAGGTCCTGCTTGTTCTTGGGGCATTTTCCCTTCAGTTTTGTCTTCAGCAAGTGAAATGCATGCTCAATCGGATTCAGGTCAGGTGATTGACTTGGCCATTGCATAACATTCCACTTCTTTCCCTTAAAAAACTCTTTGGTTGCTTTTGCAGTCTGCTTTGGGTCATTGTCCATCTGCACTGTGAAGCGTCCAATGAGTTGTGAAGCATTTGGCTGAATATGAGCAGATAATATTGCCCAAAACACTTCAGAATTCATCCGGCTGCTTTTGTCAGCAGTCACATCATCAATAAATACAAGAGAACCAGTTCCATTTGGAGCCATACATGCCCACGCCATGACACTACCACCACCATGCTTCACTGATGAGGTGGTATGCTTAGGATCATGAGCAGTTCCTTTCCTTCTCCATACTCTTCTCTTCCCATCACTCTGGTACAAGTTGATGTCGGTCTCATCTGTCCATAGGATGTTGTTCCAGAACTGTGGAGGCTTTTTTAGATGTTGTTTGGCAAACTCTAATCTGGCCTTCCTGTTTTTGAGGCTCACCAATGGTTTACATCTTGTGGTGAACCCTCTGTATTCACTCTGGTGAAGTCTTCTCTTGATTGGTGACTTTGACACACATACACCTACCTCCTGGAGAGTGTTCTTGATCTGGCCAACTGTTGTGAAGGGTGTTTTCTTCACCAGGGAAATAATTCTTCGGTCATCCACCACAGCTGTTTTCCGTGGTCTTCCGGGTCTTTTGGTGTTGCTGAGCTCACCGGTGCGTTCCTTCTTTTTAAGAATGTTCCAAACAGTTGTTTTGGCCACGCCTAATGTTTTTGCTATCTCTCTGATGGGTTTGTTTTGTTTTTTTCAGCCTAATGATGGCTTGCTTCATTGATAGTGACAGCTCTTTGGATCTCATCTTGAGAGTTGACAGCAACAGATTCCAAATGCAAATAGCACACTTGAAATGAACTCTGGACCTTTTATCTGCTCATTGTAATTGGGATAATGAGGGAATAACACACACATGGCCATGGAACAACTGAGAAGCCAATTGTCCCATTACTTTTGGTCCCTTAACAAGTGGGAGGCACATATGCAAACTGTTGTAATTCCTACACCGTTCACCTGATTTGGATGTAGATACCCTCAAATTAAAGCTGCCAGTCTGCAGTTAAAGCACATCTTGTTCGTTTCATTTCAAATCCATTGTGGTGGTGTATAGAGCCAAAAATGTTAGAATTGTGTCGATGTCCCAATATTTATGGACCTGACTGTATATATATATATATATATATATATATATACATATATACAGTGTGTATAAGGAACACTTTGAAAACTCAATGGGGAAAAGTCTCATGCTGGATTTGCTGATATGGACTGGGTAGTGTGTTAGGAACGTAAGGATGCCCCATCGTTTGATGGAAATGCATTACTTTAATTGATGTCCCTTTTTTCCCACAAATAGAGCTTTCTTTCGTTGGTATTTGATCGCCTGTTCGTTTTTTACTTTTTGTGCTATAAAAAAGAAAAGAGACCAACAATTTTGAGAAAAAAAACAATATTTTTGACTTTTTGCTATTAAACATGTCCAGTAAAAAAATGAAAAAAAATTTAATTTTGTCATAAATTTAGGCCAAAATGTATTCTGCTCCGTGTCTTCACTAAAAAAAAAATCACAATACGTGTAAATTAATTGGTTTACGTGAAAGTTATAGCATTTACAAATGGTGGTATAGATACTGGGATTTGTCTTTTTTTTTTTTACTAGTAATGGCGGCAATCAGCGACTTATAGCGGGACTGCGGCATGCATTCTGACACTGGGGGAACTGACTCTGTGTCGCTGACATCCCCAGTGACACCAATACAGTAACCAGTGCTAATAAAAAGCATTGACAGTGTACTAATGGCACTGGGCAGGAAGGGGTTAACATCTGGGGTGATCAAAGGGTTAACTGTGTGCTGTTTCACTATGTGGGCTGTGTAAGTGCATCACTGTAAGCACACTGCTTTGTATGGCTCTACATAGAGATCTGTGTTGTTTATACACAAGTCTCTCCCTCCTCTGAGATACTCAGTAATCACTGGGTGCCGGCAAGTAATCACCGGGTGGGACCCGGTGATTGACAGCCGAGGCCGCGAATGGCGTCACGGGTAGGGGCACGCACGCACCACCTGCCCAGACCTGCAAAATTTTTTTTTTCCTTACTAGTAATGGCGGCAGGACTGCAGCGAGCATTCTGACACTGGGAGGAACTGACTTGGTGTCACTGACTTCCCCAGTGACACCAATAAAAAGATCAGTGCTAATAAAAAGTACTGACACTGTACTAACAGCACTGGGCAGGAAGGGGTTAACATGAGGGGCGATCAAAGGGTTATCTGTGTGCTGTGTGTGTTTCACTGTAAGCACACTGCTTTGTATGGCTCTGCTATGCAAAGCCATGCAAAGCAGTGTGCAGGAGCTGACAGGGGAGAGATCTGTATTGTTTACTTACAGTTCTCTCCCTCCGTCTGTAATGCTCCGCAATCACTGGGTGCTGGCGAGTAATCACCGGCCTGGACCTGGTGATTGACAGCCGAGGTTACAAATACGTGACCATTTTCATGCAGTTCTGGATCTTGGCCAAAACATGGAAGGATGTATACACCGAAAATGATTCCTGAAGACAAAAGAAACTGTTTGACAAATCAGGCCATTCATTAATAAAGACATAAATTGTGTCCTCCTCGGTATGTGGATTCTATTTTTCATGAATAGTTTTTGAAATCCAAATGGTCCAAAAAATGTTGTCTGGTTGAGTTAAAAAAAAACTGAACACTACAATATGCAGTATGTTTTTTTTTTGGCTCCAAATTCCACTTTTGTTGAGCAGAAAAAAAAGCATTCCCCTCTGGGTGATCTGTGTACATTGCAGGGATTTTAACAAACTTTGTAGCTATTTTGAAGAATTAGATGTTTTTTGTCTGTGTCCATGTGCAGAGTGAATGTCAATGGGAGTGACTTTATAATTATCAATCAGGTGCTGCACTTGTTGGGTTCTAATGAAGGAAGTGGCAGGGTCTGCATCTCTTTAGATGTGTTTTCCCTTTCGGAGTATCTCAGTAACAATTGAGTACTGTATATAAGAAGTGCAGCGCTCGGTAATAAAAACAAAATATATATATATATATATATATATATTGGAATGGAGGTTGATCCCACACAAATGTATAAAAGGCAAAGAAATAGTCCAGGAAATTAGTATGAAAATTGAAGTGCTCAGGTGACATGAGAGTCCGGTATTCGTGTGATAGTGATAAAGTAATGCGCACTCACCAGACGCGCATATTTAATGCACTTTTGTATATAAAAAACCCAGATGTCATCTGATGGTGGATGGTTCTCCTCCTATTTGGTATGAGGCTGGTAGTACACTTCCACTAGGGGTCCCCTGTGTGCTCCTGGTAAGTGGTATCCCTCTGGGTGAGCTGGGTTCCACTATGAAGTAGTAATCCGTCCCAGGAATGTGTCTGTGAACTAAAGCACTCCCCAGGGGATGATAAGGACACTTCCATAGTGTAGTAATTTATAAAGGCTTTATTGTGATGCATCAAGGTAAAAACAACATATTAGGTAGTTGCAGACAGTGATCTGTAAGACTGACCGTCTGGTGTGGTAAGATGGCCGGCGGCGTGACATCACGGCGTGGTGTGGCTCCTCCTTAACAATTGAGTACTGTTCGTGATACTTTTTTTATTTGCTCTAACATACAATTTTGAGGACAAGGTATGTCCCCTTCTTCAAAGTCCAAGCAGTACTATACAAATCACAAAGTTTCAGCAGAATGTTAGAAGAGATGAAGAAAAAAAAAAAAAGAGAGGCTAGAGATAAGATACAGCCAAAGCGAGGGGGGAGGATCTCAGTAAAATTCATACTTTTGTTGCAGGGGATGCCCAAACGTTGACTTGTATCTTAGTGGGAACTTCTGTGAAAATCAGTGAGCCAATCACAAAAGCAGGAAATTACATTTCTGAGGCTGTTCTGTATATCATCAGTGTACAGAATGCCTCCGGTTGCCATATTGCATTTTACAGAAAATTACAGCGGCTGCAGATCCGAAAGGAAAGGTCATTAACCACTTGCCTACCAGGCACTTATACCCCCTTCCTTACCAGGCCAATTTTCAGCTTTCAGCGCTGCCGCACTTTGATTGACAATTGCGCGGTCATGCAACATTGTACCCATATGAAATTTTGATCATTTTTTTTCTCACAAATAGAGCTTTCTTTTGGTGGTATTTAATCGCCACTGGGCGCTTTACTTTTTGCGCTATAAATTAAAAAAAGTGCAAAAAATTTGAAAAAAAAAAAAAGTTTATTTGTTTCTTTTATAAAATTTTTCAAACAGGTATTTTTTCTCCTTCACTGATTTGCGTTGATGAGGCGGCACTGATGGGCACTGATAGGCGGCACTGATGGGCACTGATAGGCAGCACTAAAGGGCACTGATAGGCAGTACTAATGAGGTGGCACGGATAGGCGGCACTGATAGACAGCACTAATTAGGGGTCACGGATAGGCGGCACTGATATGCAGCACTGATAGGCGGCACTGATAGGTGACACTGATTATGGGTACTGATAGACGGCACTGACTGGCATCACTTCTGGGCACTGACTGGCGGCACTGACTGGCACAACCCCTGGGCACTGACTGGTGGCACTGACTGGCAGCACTGCTGGGCTGCACTGGTGGGTGGGCACAGGTGGGTGGCACTGGTGGGCACAGGTGGGTGGCACTGGTGGGCACAGGTGGGTGGCACTGCTGGGCACATGTAGGTGGCACTTCTGGGCACAGGTAGGTGGCACTGCAGAGTGGCACAGGTGGGTGCACTGCTGGGCACAGGTGGGGGCACTGCTGGGAACGGGTGGGCGGGGCTAGTGGGCGCACTGCTGGGCGGAACTTGCGGGTGTCACTGCTGGGCACCGATCATCAGGGCACTGATCATCAGTGCCCTGATAATCGGTGCCGATCCCCGCTCTGACAACTGCCGGTTCTCGGCAGTACTTTCCTCACGATCTGACAGCGTGAGGAAAGTGCAGCCGAGAACCGGCACTTGCATTTCCCTGTGATCAGCGTGTCACTGGACACCGCTGATCACGTGGTAAAAGGCCGGTGGGATCGGCCTTTCACCACATCACGTGATCAGCTGTGTCCGTAGGACACAGCGATCACGGAGATCGCCGGGTGCGCGCCCCCTGGGGTGCGCAGAAGAGCGCGTTCTGGGAGGACGTCATATGACGTCCACTCAGAACTGGCCGGCCGCGGTGAAGCCGTCATTCGGCTATGCGCGGTAGGCAAGAGGTTAATTAACATTAATTAACATTCAATTACAATATGGCCTGTGTAGCAATTGTATATGCTAGATGTCCTTTATTAGTGGAGTTACCCTTTAAATCCGCAATGGCTTACCAGTTAAAGAGTTACTAAACCCGCAACAGTACAATCAGTCTGTAGATGCAGTAAAGCATGCTTGTTATACTCACTGTAGAACCTAAGGGGTTAATCAGGCTGTTTGATCCTGTCTTCTTTGATCCTCTCCTTCTTCCACTGTCGCTGACTCATCTGCTGATATAACAGAGCCTTGGGGGTAAGCTGCACATGCTCGGTTTGGTGTGTACTGCTAGAGAGTTTTTTTTTTTTTCTTGGGAGGGTGCATGTGATCAGCACAGGGTCAATCAGCACTGTCCAGACAGAGGGTCAGGTTGTCATGCAGCCTCTTAGAACAATCAGAGGAGAATGAAAACTCTTCCTACAAGCTTTAACCTCCCTGGCGGTATGATTCTTTCCGATTTTTTGTGCTGAAAGCGGTACCATTTTTTTGCATGGAAATATGTAGTTTTTTATTGTAGGCTGTAATTTTTAGGAATAACTCACTGAAATCTGTCCGAACAAGAGTCTAGTAAACATCCCGGGGATGATAAAACCTGAAGCACGAAATCATAAATTATAATATAATAAATAATCATAAAAAATAATAATAGAATAATAATACATTTAATTCAATAATATAATCAAACCAAAAAACACTGAAATCTGAAATACAGAGGCAGATTCGCACATCGCTGAGCAAAGTCGCAGAATCGTTTTCAGTGTCTGATGATGAATTTCCCCCACGAATCATTATCACTCAATTCTGCAAGTGGTTCTGATTTACTATCGCTGTTCTCTAGCCGGTCTAAAACCGCTTTTGACCTAAAGGAACGCTTTTTGGACGCCATGGACGTTTCTCAGTTTCTAGGCAGAAAGAACATTCAAAATGCAGGCAGGGCGCCGGACAAAGCACTCGGGAAAATGTATGTGAAATGGTTTGAAATAGCAATGACAGCAAAAATGACATTTTTAAAAAAATTCAAATTTCCCGCCGGTTCCGGCTGGTTTTGCTCAAGGCACTGTTGATAGAGAGGTGCAAAGTTGTCCCAACTTCATCAAAGGGCAGTTTAGGATCTTCCCTATTGATATGGACCTGACAAAGTTGGATAGTTGCTGTGTCTGGCACTAATATCACACGATGGCTTGAAACTGAGGGGCACATTGGGGCCTGGGCTTGTCTGAATCAGGTGGAAGGATGTGGTTTATTTGCATTTTGGTAATATTGCCTGGATTGAGGAAGGAGGCCAGGAACATACAGCATGTAACTCTTTTAATAAATGTGCTGTATATCTTTCTCCTTTGTGTCGCACTTCTTTTACACACTGTTATAAATGTAACCCCCCCCTCCCCCCCATACATACTATTATAATATTGAATACCTAAATCATCTGTGTAGCAGTTATATCAATGTAATCATTTGCCATGCAGGCCATTTCTGTCATTTATATAAAAATCTGCACTTTCTTTTGCTATAAAATGACTTAGAACCCCCAAGCAGTTTTTTAAGTGGAAGCCCCAGAGTGGGGGTGTTGAATTAAAATTTATGGAAGTCCAACCAGTAAAGTGTTCTTCCAGCAGAAGTCCGAACCGTATTCTTTTTTCCGATCTTTCCTACTGTATATCACAATCCCTATAAACTTCAGTGTCCTCATTTCCCCCCTGTATGTCACAGCCCCCACTTCACCTTCACAGTAGTGTTCTCAGGCCCCCTACACATCACCCCCACCCAGGGGCGGACTGACCATTTGGAAACTCGGGCACTGCCCGAGGGCTCGGGGTCAGTAGGGAGCCCCTTGAGATGCCCCTGGTACCTTTTTCATAGGCTTTTTTTGAGTTTGGGCAAGGACTCAGGGGCCCCATGATCCCCTATTACCCAGGGGCCCCATGAGTTGTCAGTCCGCCCCTGCCCCCACCCACCCCTCTACAGTACACCTCCATTATTTTTGGCAGTCCTACACCCCCTTGAAATCATCACGCCCCACACTATTGTTCTCTGCCCTCTTCACATAACCCCCAGCAGAACTGTGCCCCTTTCAAATCCCCCCACAACATTGCTCCCCCTTTACATCTCCCTCCCCA